CTTGGAACAGTTTGGTGAATTTTAGGGAAGAAAAACAATTACTTTCATTGCAAAAAAATATATATATTACATACACACATACATATTGTTACGAAATATACAGGCGCAGTGAGATAGCTTTCCCGCAAAGCAGTTTTAGGGTTGCCATAAAATGGCAAGGGAAGGCAGGGTTGCCACATTTGCCGATATTTGGCGACAAAATTCGCGATATCCCATAGACGGAGAACCTTTCGGAGCGAATTCTTACCGGTTCAGTCCAGAATGTTCTCGAACTCAAGCCGATAGCTATATAAACCCTGCTGGTCTGCTGTCAGTGAGTGCGTCTCAGAGAGTGGCCTCGTCTAGCGAGCTGTGCGGAGTCGATCGAGTTGACAGCCGGGCGACGAGTGCCGAGTAGGTCGTCGAGTGCACCGAAGGAGTCTCTTAGTGTATCGCGGTTAGTGCATTGTCGAGAGAGCGTGTCGAGCTGTGGAAACAACTCAACCAAGAATAAGGAGCTGTGCTCTGTGTGTCATCGAGTGCATCACGAGTCGTAGCGTGGAGAGTCTCGAGAATACGTGGAGTTCCGAGAACAACCAAGCAGAGTCAGGAGCTGTACACCAGAAAGCAGAGTCAGGTGTTTTTGCAGGAAGCTATCTCCACCATTATTGCCCGACAGTGCCGTGCCGCCAATTGTTCCAGCGTGTTTATAGTAGATCTTCGATGACTGTAAAAAGTGTTATTGGAGCTGTCCTGATTAATATTGGCTAAATACAGTGTGTTTCGATACTTCATCAAGTGTCGTTGTTATTCACTCCAAATCTACGAACCCCGTACGAACATGAAGCAAGAATATAGCGTAACAACTGGTGTCAGAAGAAGAATAGAAAAAGGCAACAATATTGTTGCATTCTAAGGGTTCATGGATTTGGAGTGATTGATTTCCAAAGACACATTTAGTCAACGAAAAATACCATAAACACAACATGATGAAACAATCAGAAACACAGCCTTCAGGATACAATGGTGAAGACAGCTTCAAGGCAAAGCACTAAAGTACAACTCTCAACTCAATTCGGTCATTCTGAAGCTAAGCTCTGAACTCTACTACTCTGCTACTGAACTCAACATACTACTACACTACTCCAGATAACTTCTGCTCTGCGTATAGGCAGGGTATGCATAGTTTTATCCTACCTTTGAGAATATTCCCTAGGAAAACTGCCAAGAATGCATTCTAGAATGTTCTCACTCTCTATGGCATACTGCCAATTTTGTTGCCATGGGCGATTTCATGCCAAACCTGGCCCACCTGCCTTTTTCTGCCACTTTCTGGCAACAAAGCTATCATACTACATCTGAGCATTTCGTAACAACATTATTATGTTGTTAGGAAATTAAATATTTATTCCAAGCCTCAATTAAATATTTATTCCAAAAAGCAATCAGTAAACCTAGTTACAAACAAGTTTTCTTTTTTTTTTTTTTTTTTTTTGTGGTGGAAATTTCTTAGCAATTGCTTTAAAATAATTTGAAACATTGTTCCTTTAGTGATTTTGTGATAAAATAATGCATTGTCGAAGAAATTTTACCTTTCTTCTATTCATTTCATCCTACAAGCATAAATTTTAAAATCAAGTTTAAGACAAAAAAAAAAATCATAATTTTCCTATAAAAGCCATTGGAACTTGGAATACAACAAAAAGAATGCATACGAAAATGGTAACCCTGGAAACTGAACATTTGTCATGCGTATGGTAGCCTGAATAATTGTTCTGCATGTAGTTAGCCATAGTTTGGTGCATTCTGAACCTCTGGCAATTTCTATTTGTGATGACATGTACACGTAAGTACCCAAAAAAGGTTAGTCTGTATTTTAGGGTGCCTCTTGGATTACTGCCAAGTTGTTGCTTCATTCGGAGGCCCGGTGGCACAGTGGCTAGTGCATCGCCCCCTGGGCTGGACACGGTCGGCTCAGCCTTTCATCCCTTGATTTCCGTCCCTTGGATAGATAAAATGAGCATTAAGTTTGCTTGGAGACTAAACACTGGGGGTCCTGTGACAAGTTGACCACTTGTTCAGGGCATATGCTTACACACCCCGGGGGCCGCGGTCGAGAAAGCATATTTCGGGGCACTTTTGGGCTTGGCCCACTAGGGCTGTTGCCAGGGGCGTAGCTAGAGGGGGGAAGGGGGGCATCTGTCCCCGGGCGCAGAATCCAAGGGGCGCCAAACTGATGTTACGACATTTTAGAATTAAATGTTTTCCATCCTTGGCAAGCAGTAAAGGGTGCGAAATCTTCAGTTGTCCCTGGGCGCTAAAAACCTACTGGCTGTTGCGCCACTTAGTTCAGTTTACTTTGTTGCTTCATTTATCACCAAATTGTTGTTTCATTTATGGTAACCTAAGTAGTTGAATGTTATGGAAACTCTATGATGACATGATTGCGATGAATTTGACTGATGGGAAAATATATGCAAGGGCTTATTTCTGTATTGGATGTCAGTTAGGAAGTACATTGTTTATTTTGTGCTGTACACCGTACAATGTGATGAGATTAATGTGAAGTTTCCGTACGATTTGAAATAAAAGGGAAAAAAAGCATTAACTAGTTGGTGTATAAATGAAGGTTTACTTAGTAGTCATTGTAAGCATCCAGTCTGTATGAAGGAAATGCGTATGGTCGAACGTAAAGATCGTTCATATGGCTTTGAATGGATTTGTCGGAAGAAAGGTTCATGCAAGAAATGCCACCGACAGTCCGGCACTACGGAGGATATTTTTTACTCTTATTTTTGTGAATTTATGTGGTGACGGCAGTATGCATAATCTAGTTCAGATCATTTTAGAAAGTTTTTGGAAGCTGTTAAGGAATTTTGAGTGCTACAGAGTGAAGACACAGAAATTTTTAAATATGGTAAGTCGATATTTCCTTTTTGTAGTGCGCATATGCAATAACATGTATTTCCATTTTTATGTTATTTCCTTGCGTGATTTAAAATGCAGTTTACTGAGCTTCGATTGGCTACAAATTTTGCTCTTTTAGTGATGAGTAACTTTGTTTTAACATTATATGACGTCATCATTCTCCTGATTTTTTTTTTAAAGTGAAAATAATAGATTGACACGTACATGGACAAAGTTAAGGTAGTGCGCAATTCTCTGATTTTTTTTTAAGTGAAAATAGATTGTACATGGAAACCAAGTTTGTGCAATTCCTTGACTTATTTTGGTTTTATGTAGCGGCCATCTTGAAATTATGCCTTGGTGGACGACTGCCAATTTTTGCCAAAGAGCACCCTGAAATATATTTTTACCCACAAAAAAATTTATGTCATCATTTACTATACATATGGTCACTTTCTATGATTAGGCCTACAAAATGCCGATTTTCTTGAGTCAAACTGAGATTACCTCTAAATGTAATTTTAGAGGGGAGAACTCACTAATTAACCAAAAAGCTTATATCATCACTTACTATGCATCTGGTCACACAGCCAATTATTTTTTTTATACTCACAGAGTTATACGGCATGAGATTTTCTGCAAAGTATTAATGTTCTGAGGCATCTGATATTCAGTGTAAACAACATGAGCTGGAGTGATAGGTAATATGATGTTTCACATAACCTGCTCCTCTAGCATTCAAAAATTTGCTTTCAACCAATACAGTAAAACAGTGAGCTTTCATGCAACAAAGATATGACCATTTTTTACAACAAAAGGCACACATAAAATGTTCAAATAATGGCAGAAGTGCAGGCAAAGGTGTATTATGCACAAAGGAGATATTTTAAAGAGATTAATAATCAAATTTAAACCGTGCATTTTTCTTGTTCATGCACCTTTTTGATTATACCATATATATTGCAGCAATAGGTTCAACATCAGTAAAAATATCTAAATAATGTAGAGATCCCATAATTAAAACTATACCCACAACTTTGCATTGCAAGGTTTTTTAATTATTATTATTATTTTATTTTTATTTTTAAGCAGAATTCAGAGCATTAATGGTTGCATTTTACATGGCATAACTGCCAACCTTGAAATCTGGACAAACAGAAAATTGAAAGAACTGGGAAAACTGGGAGCAACTGGAAGGCTTTCATGCTGTACGGCATTACTATTTCAAAGGAGTTTTTAACAGACTTAAATTCACTTTTTAATGCATGATTCAAGTTATATACTCTCTGAGCAGCATGACCAGCTTTATTTGATCTTAAGACTTTTTGGCACTTGCTACATATTAGCTTATAATTTATTTTGCTTTTTTACCTTCTTTAATAATGTAAATGTCATCTTAATGAATATAAGTTCATGAAAATAGAGACTAAAATATGTAATTATATAAATTTAGCTAATACATGCTGTTTAAATACAGGTTTTTATAACCGATCCAAAAACCCGAGCCACTCAGAGGGTTAAACTATTTAATAAACAATTCTGATGTAAAAAAAAAATAGTATTTAATTAGATATTCTAAATTTTATTTTGTAATTTTTCTTATAGTTTTGTACAAAGAAAATTCTGGATAGGAAAGAAACTGAAACAAGGAAATATTAACTGAATCAATACTAGTTGAATCTTTATATATCTACAAATGTCTATAATAGATTAAGACAACTCAGATAAAATGAAATACAAAAAAGATCAATAAAATAAAAAATACAGTTCAGATAAAATAAAATTTAAACAAGAAAAATTATTCTGAAAATCACAAGGGGTGGAGAAATAGAATTTGCAGAATTTAAGTTTTAATTCATTCAATAAATTTTATTCATTGCTGGCAAATATTTTCCTCAGTAAAGGGTAAAAATTAAAAACTGAGAGAATTGGCAACTATGGCATGGACTATTTACAAAAGCTGCTTTACAGACTCTTGTCAAATATGCCATTCTAACTGATTATCAAATTGCTGATACTGTCAGATCAGATTAGCATTCAGTTTAATTAACCTCAGTCAGCGAAATGAAAAATTAGGCTTTTGCTAAAACACAGCAGCATTAACCAGCACTTACCCCTGAAATATATTCCACAAAAACTGGCGATCTGGCATAGGAGTTGCCATCTTTTTTTACCTATAAACAGCAAACATAATATAAAACAAAATATTAGCTATAAGAACACACAGCAACTTTATTATAAAACAAAAACAAACAAATTCTAAGAGAAGAAATTAATTTTTTTTTTAAATTGCTATATTATCTTTTACCCCTCCCCCCCCCTAAATGCTATATACCCCTCCCAACTGAATGCTATATATACATTTTACCCCTCCCAACTGAATGCTATATATACATTCCACAAGAATACTAAAGGAAGTTATCTAAATAATGGAAACACTTGTGATTAAAAGTGACATTTAAGAATCCACTTCATAAGCATTACAATGTAATCCTAGCTATCAATTTTTTTAATATAAAAAATAAAGGTTAGAGAAGATTGAAGGGTGCCCCTTGTATTATCGCGAAGTTGTTTCATTAATTGCCAAATTGTTGTTTCATTTGTGGTAGCCTGAGTAGTTGAATGTTATCAGGGGTGTTTGTGGGACCCCAAAAAATCCCCTGAAACTTTTACTGACTTACTACCGACATTTTGGAGTTTCGAGAGAAATGAAAAATTACAATTATGAAGTATTGAATGACCTAATTATAAAAGTTCAATGAATTACTTTTTTTGCAAAATTAATAACCATAAATTTTCAAACATATAAACTACCACATTTTATGTAAATATTTTAAAATTACCTGAATTAATTCTTTAAAAAAAATTATCTAATTTCTGCTGCTTTTTTTTATTTTCTTCTGATGTTTGTGGGCTTGTCTTGTCTTTCTTTTGTGGTGAACTTCATAATTGCAGGAAGGTTGACTTTTATTTTCCTCATTTACAGTTGAAGAAATTTCCTCGAGAACTGCACATGCAGAGGTAGAAGTAGTTTGCTTTTCTGCTAATGTAGAAGGTTTTTCAGATACTTTTATAGGTGACTCATCTGTTTTTAAATAAATACATGTTTTTAAGTCCTCTTGATATGTTTTTCAACTTCTGTTCATATTCAGTAAGAGATCTTTGTGAATTGGATCAGTCATTGGATTTTTTTAGCCATATTTTTCACATGAGGTTTCTTTAGAAGCTATTAAATCATATTTAATAAAGGAAGAGGGAATCAATCTAAAGAGAGGTTCTATAGTCAGTGACAAGTGTATCCATTAAGTTGAATGCACTTTCCACTAATGGGCCATGGAAGCAGCTAAGGCAGGCTTTAACCAATTTAGCCAATGTAGGATACTTATAATCATTTTGTGAAATCATCTTTTAAATTAAAAACTTTAGACCAATATTTATCAATTGTACACTTGACTTGATTTCCCACTTTCATCAGATGTGTAGAGCATTTCTTTGGTGATATCAATATCACTCTGGTATAACCTTATTTCAGCTTCTACTTTTGACTTTTCATAATCACTAAAAATATGGGACATAAAAGATGATAATTTTTCAAAAGCTAATATGTACTGACTGTTTTTACCTCTTAGCTCTGGATCTAATGCTGTAAAACTAATTAGATATGAATTTTTTAAGGGGTAATTTTTCTGTTTCACATGCTGTGCTGTATTAGTATAAGCTTTTCATCAGAGAAATTTGGAATTCTTTTGCTATTGGATGATGATGATTTTTTGATAATTTCTTCAGGAGAGTGGAAGCTTCTGCACCAGTAAATATTACTTTGCTAGGTAGATAAAATTCTGGATTTGTGACATCAACCTTTAATAAATCATTATAAGATGTGCACTCTATATTTTCTGGCTTTATAAAAAAAAGAGAAAAATTTTGCCATCAATTTATAAATACTGGAATGTATTAAATGAAGCATTGTTTTTTTTTTTTTTTTTTTTTTTTTTTTTTTTTTTTTTTGTTTTTTTTTTTTTTTGTTTCAAAAAATTTAATATATGTGTTGAACTCTGGTAATACTGCTGAATATAATGCCATATGCAATAAAGTTTTGTTTTGCATAACAAATAACCCATTTAGTATTCTTTTTTTTTTTCGAGCTAAAGCATCCTTTGTGAGTTGTTGGGAATGCAAGCAAGAATACACCCCTTCAACAATTTTTTTTCTGAGCTGCAGAAATATTTCTTTTATTGTATACAGTTTCAACATAAGAAAAAATAATCCCCTTTATCAGTTTTATCCAAGTAGTGAAAATAAAATGCAATAAGAGCATCCCACAGATCTCTTGATTCTTTCTAAAACACATAAAATGTACACCCACCTATGGTCTGGTCTCTTCAAGGGCTTAAGTTTTTTAATGGCAAGGGATTCACAGATTTTGAAAAAATTTTCTCTTTTACTGCTGCAGCTTTTCATATCAAAATAGATGTCATCAAACAAATCTTCTAAGTATCTATATCAAACATGAAGCAAATTTTTTTGCACAGTTATTTTAGCTGTGTGACATGTGTCACCATCAATATCTAATAAGTGGGGTGCTTTTGTTTGATCGTAGTCTGGTTTCAACACCCTTTTTTTTTCCACGTATGGTGTTACATGAGTCCATTAATACACTAATTAAGTTTTGCCCATGGAATATTATTATCTTCAATAGTATTAACAACTGCTTTAAAAAAAACAGCTTCTGAATTGCAAGATTCCATCTTTAGAGATGCAAAATGATGAACTACAACAACTTCATTTTGATTGTTGTCATAAAACTGCACCAATATTGCCAGCATACTTTCTTGAGCATTGCTAGTACTTTCATCCAAATTTAGAGAAAATGGAGTCTCCTTTAAAGTTTTAATGATATTTTCCTTAATAGTTTTTGCGAGCCCATATTTCATCTTATAACATGCAGTAGTCCTGGACATTTCCAACGAGTTTAGTGCCATCTCATCGCGGCTCAACTGTTTGCAAAGTTCAATTAAATTGAGAGCTACATTGAAAGAAAGAGAATTCTTGGCGATAAACGAAGTTATTAATACCTCTTGGCGTGCTTTTCTTGTCACTATATCCAATGGCCGAGCATCAGTCTCCAGTAAGTCATCAGTATTTTTTTAATTAGCATAATTACTTAAAGTCATTGAATGTCTAATGCACTTTGAATATTTTATGTGCGTCACAGTTTTAGAATGATTTGTGAAAGCCTTGAATCCTTGCCCACCATACTTCAGCAGTGAGTTACAAAAAATACAATATGCTTGTCCAGCAACATTTATTTTCTTGCACCATGTGCCGATGGTATCCCCATTACCATCTCTCCTCCGTTCAATCCAATTCCACCTAAATGCATTCCGGACACCTTCTTCTAATTGTATAATATCACTATTTATATCGAGAAATTTCATAGTGAAATTCTCTCTTGCGTACATAAATAAAAAAATTTTTCAATAAACGAAACGAAAAATTTACACGTGCATCAATAAATGAAACGAAAATTTTACACAGCGGAGGAAAAAAAGTTGAGAAGCGATCAATGACAAATAGCTAATATGGCGAAAAATCCCTCTTCTCTACTTATTGGCGCCACGCCAGTAGAGATAAGACCTTTGAACCCAGAGTCAAGTGATCGTACATCTGGTCGAACGAAGTCTCTCCCTTTTTTTTTTCTGCCGTGCCTACTTGCCGAAAAGAATCCAGAAGAGAATGTCTGAGAACCAGGGGAATGAGTCATAACTCGCAATAAGGAAAGAACAAAAAAGAAGTTTTTTCCTCCTTTTCACGCATTATCACTGCCTTTGGAGAAAGAAGGAAAAGTTTTCACCACACACACTGACCTTGCATTTTCTGCTTTCAAAGCAAACAAAATTACCCAGATCAAAACAAATAATTCATTATTATTCCTACTTCCTTTTGAACGACGATGCCCGGAATTTCCGGGTATCGAAGTTCAAAAATCCCTGGAATTCCGGGGTTTCCCTGGAGCATAAACACCCCTGTGTTATGGAAACCCTATTACGACGTAATCGGTTGCATGATTACTGTAAATTTTGAATGACGGGAAAAAGACTTGTAAGGGCTTGTGGTGTCTGTTGGTTAAGAAGTACATTGCTTGTTTTGTGGTTTAGAAGGTAGAATGGCTGAATGTGGTAAGATTAATTTGAAGTTTCTGCATGATTTGGAATGAAAAGGGAAAAGTGCATTAATTGACTGGTGTAGAAATGAAGGTTTACTTAGTAGCCATTATAATGCCCTGTCTGCAGGACAGAAATGCATATGGTTGAACGTCAGAGGATACCGGCACAATGGAGGATATTTTTGACTCTTTTAGTCTTGTGAATTTATATGATGATGCCAATATACAGATTCTAGTTCAGATAATTTTAAGGAGTTTTTGGATGCTGTTAAGGAATTTTGTGTGCCACAGACTGAAGGACTCAGAAATTTCTAAATAAGGTACGTGGATGTTTGCTTTGTGTAGATGCATAAGATGAATTTCCTTTTTTATATTATTTTATTGTTTGATTTAAAATGTAGTTTACTGAGAAGCAACTAGGGACAATTTGCCCTGAAGGACTATTAATTTCATTTTGGCATTTTGCATCGAAAACTTTAAAAGGCTGTATCACTTTTCAAATCGTTGCCACTATATATTATCGCCGTCTTATATTTAAAGAAGTTAAATAATGAAGAATCTGCATAAATGTATGTATGTTTCTCTGTAATAAAACAACAAAATTTGAATAACATAATCTTCCATAGAATATGGGCATGTGGAAGTCCTAACTTGAATTTGAAATTTGTTTATTTTCGATTTCAGATTTTGTAACACTTTAACGAATTTTTGATTAAAAAACTAAACGATTTCAAAGCGAGCAATGGCAACACTGTACGAAAAAAAAGACATTTTTATCTCCAGCGTGAGACTCTGTATTGGAAATTCTAAAGATATGCTCATCTTAAAATAATTTTGCGATATTGCTGTTAAACTGAATTTTATAGTTTGAGTACATTAAACATGACATTTAATAAACAAAGATAACACACAAAACATTAAAAAAACACCCCTTTGGACGTAATTTAAAATCTGAAACCTTTTTGAAAAAAAAAAATTTTTTTTTGTTTGGTTCTACTTAGAACTGGG